ACAGAGGAGAGCAACAAGGACGATCCTCTGCATTAGAGGAATGAAATGTGAGTAATGATTAGACAAGCTGGGGCTTTTCAGTCTTGAAAAAGTAATGGTTCAGAGAGGTGTATGAGGTGTATAATATTTTGAATGGGATTGAAAAAAATAAACCCAGAACAATACTTTCAGATATACCACGGCAACAGAACAAGAGGGTACAGGTTCAGAGTTGCAAAGAGCAATTTTAGGAAAGACACCAGATATTTCTTTACCCAAAAGATAATTAACAGGTACTGCAGAATGGGTTACCAGGAATGGTGATTGATAATAATAATAATCCTTGCATTTGATATACCGCTTTTCACGTCAGGAGGACGTCCCAAAGCGCTTCACAGAACACACTGTAAAGTGAATTTGACTGTATATTTGTGGGCGAACGCGGCAGTCAATTGCGCACAGCAATGTCCCACAAAAAGTCGTAGATTGAAAATGACCAATTTAATTATTGTTTTTGTTTTTTGGAGGGATTATTATTAGGCGTGTGGAGTAAGGAAACTTGCCCAAGGTTTCGCCCTGCTTGGAATTGAACTCAGGTCTCTCACTTGCAAAGCGAGTGCTCTAACCACTGAGCTACAGGACTCCACGTGAAGCTAAGCAAGGAAAGACTCACAGATCCCTGTGCAGGAGAGGACACAAAGGAAAGAGCTGGGGAATCCAACATTGTCAGAATAATTGAGTCTGGAGTGATGAAGATGTGGATGAGAGTCTCAACATTCCAGTGGTGGCGGGGGAAGTAGTGTTGGAGCTGGGTGATGTTGCAGAGATGATGAAAGGCAGAATTAGAGACAGCAAGGATATTGGGTTTGAAGGTTAGCTGGGAGGAGGGGGTCAACAAGACACTGAGGTTCCACACAGGCTCTGTGAGGCAAAATAAAAACCTGAATTAACCTATTTAACTTTAGTGTTCAGAATGGTACACACTCAATAGCTTCAGGGAATGCGCATACCAGATTTGTGAATTCAGTTGTGTGCATGTGTGTGCTTGTGTGTGCATTGATAGTGAGGAAACATAGTAAGTTTCTATGGGAACCATGTACATCTACATAACTTTCCGCAGATATACAACATCCCATAAAACATACAGTCACCACACTTTACAGTATACATGGTGAAGTACTTTGGGATGCCTCAACCACTTGATAAGGCTCTGTATCGAATGCAAGGATTATTATTCATTGCAAGTTTTCAGTCACTGTGAAGCAATAATCGACAAAGCTGATTAAATTCTGTTTTCCATCTCAACAACTAAAAGAGTCAGCTGATAGTAATATAATCTCATATCTTTGCTGACATTCCAAATGAGCAGCAAGAAAATGCTGTATTGTTGCAGATGCCGTCATTCAGGTGACAAATTAAATTGTGGTTTTAATTGCTTGTTCAGGTGAATGTTAGCACTAATAATAAACCTTAAATTTGATATAGTGCTTACATTTGATCACTTTAGGAAGATGTCTCAAAATGTTTCCAAAGATATATTGTAAAGTGTAGTGATTGTGTAATTTGTAGGCGCCCACACCATCCAATTTGGGCACAGGAATGTCCCATAAACAGCCATGAAATGAATGACCAATTTGCCCATAACACTGGAAGAAACTCTCTTCTCTTTTAATATATTATAGGAAGTACCACTGGGAGAATAAACAATAGAAAATAATTCATCGTCACACAAGTGGACTAACATGTCATATCAGCCTCAGTTCTCTCATGATAATCTTCAAGATAACAAGATGCCAGGATCTGGACTCATTTAAGAAATAGATGTAATGGGAGGAGGTAAATTGGCATTCTGGAAGGATAAGATCAAATGGGCCAAAGGACCTTATTTATCTGAATCTCTTTTGTGTTCCTGTGTAGAATTCTTTACATTTTGGGCATTCCTTGTCGAAGCTTTCAAAAAGAGAATGGTTTAACTCTATCATAACTTCCATATGCCAAAGAAGAAACAAGATTGTTCCAATGTACTTAATGCAATAACATAATAAGGTAGAAAGTGGAAAACTCAAATGGAGAGAGAGAGAGATTAATATTGTTGCTGTTTATATAAAACAGAATTGTCCAGTGGGAGTGTCAGCGAGGAGGAAAACCACCTGCACTATCTTCCTCAGCTTGTTTTTTTGTAAATGACTGTTCACATACAGCAAAAATAAAATATTTTCTGCATTTTGTTAATCAAGAAAAAACTGTTTTGAAGTAATGAACAAAAGTACATGAATAAATTCCCTCCCAACACTAAGCACGACAACACAACATCAGAGACCTGAAATGTGCAAATGCTATGCACAGTTTCTACATGGAAGCCAACTCACAAAATAATGGTGTATCAACAAGGAGTATATTTAAAAAAGCAATTTCTCACTTAACATTTTTCGCCAAATTATAGAATAGGAAAAAACAATTATGAAAGTTTACATTGTAGGTAAATAATCCAAATTCTTGGTGTCCAATGAAAGTAGACACAAAAACACTGGGAGGCAAGAACCCTTTCACATTGCCATCAATTCAATATTCCAAAACAAATTATGTTATTCCTATTACTGGGAAATATTGAGTTATGGTGAATAATCCATACGTACCATAATCCAGAAGATTTGTAAAATTCAAGTTAAAATAAGAGTTTGAACCACCATCTTAAAGAAAGGTCTTATGCAAATTGAAAGAAAATACAATTGCCTCAAAGGTCAAAAGAGAGGGAAGTATATGTATCCCTTTGACCTCATTCTCTTCTTCCCTTTAAATTGTGTTACTCTTTTTGGAAATGTGTAACAACTTATTATTCCTTACTTGATTCAAGTTGGTTAATTTCATTATCTGACTAGCTCATTATATTTGGATTCCAGATGCATTTTAATCCATTATTGTTGTTTTAAGGGAGGTATAATGTAAAAGATTATTTTGTTCACAAATATGATGAATACAAATGTTGGAAAAGGGAACATTTAGTGCTTTTTGATTCAATTCTCCCCAGTCAAATTAGTTAGAGGAGGGTTAGATCTCATTCTATGCTATCCCCAAAATATGGTTTAATCCCAATCTCAGAACAGCATCTATCGATATTTACTGCTTGCATCAAATATGTTAAATGTATGAGTATGACTGATAGGCTGTGTCATATTATGAGATTATGGATTCATAATGACCAGAAACTAAACGGAGACAATTAAAAATACTTTGAGGATCCTTTATAAGACATCATGAAGATACTTTTTTTAATATATCGAGTATTGTTTTTCAAAACATTTCAAATGAGCTTTACGATAATTATTTTCAAGTGAAGGCAAATGCAGAGGCCATTTTGCGCACATTAAGGTCCCGCAAACAGCTGTGAGGTTAATGATCAATTAATCTGGAAGATCGTTGAGACTCTCGTCTCTATTTGATTAATGTCATGGGATCTTTAACTTCCATCTCAGGTCAAGTTCCAATAGAGTTTGAACCCACAACCGTCTGACCCAGAACCAAGAGTGCTACCAACCGAGCCAGACTGACACCTTCATCAATTCTGACACCTATTACAAATCAATTAACAAAATATTTCCTTTAGCTTTTTAATTTATCCTCTTTATCCCCCTTTTCTTTGAATTTTGGATAATCCTCCATGTTCCCATTTCCTTTCACCTATCAGATCTTTTGCTTTCACCATGCAGATAATCCTCTTAATCCCCAATTTGTTTCCTTTCCATCTCAACAGAACCCATCCACTGTGTCAATGTTTTTCACCTACTTTGCAGGATACGTGAACAGCCATAATGCAATATTCCATTTAGACTATTGACTTCCACAAATCCATCCTTTCAAGATGTTGCCATGCAATGCCCAGAGCCTCAGTGGTTGGTTTAATCCCATCGGAATGATCAACAGGAGCCTCTCCTTCTTGCAGGAAGGGTACCACAAACATTTTGGCAGATGGAAGGAATCAAAATTATTTTGTGTTAACCCCTTAATTTACTTTTACCAAAAGTAAATTAAGGGGTTAACACACAATAGTCCTCTCCTGGTAAATGGAATTGCAACACATCGACCAATACGAACTCTGTTCCAATGCAATCTACTTGAAGGACAAAGTTGCTGTGCATCAAGAGGAAACATGGTTGTTTTATTAGGAAATATTGAAAATGAGACCCCATTAATAACAAATTGCAACTGTGAGCCATATTAACTGATCCAAGTCCTGCGACACCCATTGATAACTGAAAGCTTCCAGAAAGTCAGCAGACAATACACACCAACACCAGTTCTCCAAGGTCATTCAGGCGAGCATTAGAGATTGAAACGGGGGCAAGTAGTCAGAGAGACCCTAACTGATGACTCTGGCATTCAGTGTATGAATCACTTGGCTTCTCTTCAGTGATGCTTTTTCTAAAGTTCTTCGGGTTTATGACTGCCCTGTTCTGTAATTTTTATTTTACTGAAAGCACCATTTATCAACCTGTCAGAGCTCCAATGGTGCTCACTTTGAAATACCCCTGACCTGGTGTCAACACCTGTTTTTCTGCACACTCGGGTCAACAAACAGATCCACTGAAGTTTTTTTTTGCTGCCAAGGTTAAACAATTAGAGGCCTTGGGATTTGTTGCTACTGTCTGGCCAGGCCAAACCATCATCTGATTATGTAAATCGATAATACACAGTTTTGTAATTGAATTACAAGCAATTCAATACATATGAAATGCTTTAAATTAATTTTTTTTAATAAATAGGTACAACGTTTGTCTGAAATATTTCTCCTGTCATAGTGGCGATGATCATTTCTCATCCTAAGATTTGTTCAGGATTACATTTGGTTATATTACAACAATAACAACAACTTGCATTTATATAGCACCCTTCACATGGGATAGCGTCCCGGAGCGCTTGTGAAATATTATGTGAAGTCATACCTTTTATACACCTTACGGGAATTTCACATAACATCAACCCTGTTTTAAATTTTACAAATAATAAATACATTGAGAAAATACCTGAATTGCCAGATGAGTCCATTTGTTGAGCGGGATTTTTCCACGTGTATTCACCAGTAATGGAGGTTGAAAACCAGCTGATGTACGGTAGTAAAATATACATCCTCTTCCTGATGTTGTCAGTTTGAATACTGTGCGATCATTGGTACTCTTTTCAATAACAGTCCTAAAGAAAAAATGAGCACAGCAACATATTACAAATGCCTCCAAAATATAAGCAATAATGAATGAGGTGTGCATTTTTAATGAATAATGCATGACAGATCTAGACTCTGCATGAAATGAAACCAAATTAGGGAGGTGTGAAACCCAATCCAAATTGATGGCTGTATATTGTGGCATGCTCTGACACAGGTACATATTCAGTTTCAAGAAACTGATTGACTTCCAGAAACCAGGCAACACTTGCCCACCGGCACATTGTTCTGCTACACCAGTCAGTGAAACATTTGAGCAGCAAAATGCCAAAACCAAATTTGCAGAGCATCAGACATTTTCATATCAATTTATTCCTGTTCATGTTTTCAGTTTAGTCAGATGCCCTTTCATCCTCCTTCGTTCCACCTCCCCAACTATCAACAACAATAAAACATCAAAACCAAAGCAAACCTTATTAAACAAACTTGTTATAAATCTAAAAAGGGAGTTCCGGAGCAACTTTTTTGCTCTAACCACTGAGGACTCCATATGTCCAAATGTGAGAACTATTTTTAAATTGGGCAACTTGCTGAACAAAAGAATACATATAACAAAAGTTATACATTTTCTTCTATGGTTAAGCAGAAGTGTTTTAAAATTCCCTTAAAACTTTATTCTCCTTTTAACGCAAAACTTTGTCCTCTTCCACCCATGACCTGTTTGTATAACAGAAGTGCTGGACTGTTAAAATATAAACTATTGGTTCATCAGTACAGCTCTTTCACAATCACATTTTCACTCACATAACAATGCACCTCTGCTTCTTTACAAATGTCAAGCAGTTTCAACCAGTTGTACAGAAAATAATACTCTTCGGATCACATTAATACTTTTGGTATTTTACCGAAAATACTGTGCAATTTACTTTTTTATATGAAAAGGTGTAAATGTATCAAACTGCATTAGGCCAATCTCTTGAGAGCTGAGATCAAATTTGTTCTTGAATGAATCCAAACTTTGGCAATCCTAAAACAAAACTAAGATTTTTGGACTGAGGTTTCAACTGCATTGCTTAACTTCTCTATCAAGGAAGCTCTTCAACACTTGAGGCCTAAGAACAAACTAAGGTAAGATAAAGTAAAACAATGCATGTGTGAACCACAGTACAAAAATTGCAGCTATGCAGAAAGAGATGAAATGACCCATAAAAAAGAATATTCCCTGATTAACAATTCAATCTTGCAGGCCAGAAAGGGAGAAAATTTAGAAACTATTAAAAAATGAACCCAAACAATACTGGGAATTGTTACACCAGTATTTATAATAGGATGATGTCCAGAAACTGAAAATAGATACAAAACATTACATTTCTGATTCAAATACCTTCATGTAATTTCAAATTATTTACTAATAAACAATTTAAAAACCAAGTTACTAATTTGAGCTCCAAAAACATAATTTAAATAAATCCCGTTTTATATTCATGAAAAGTTTGATATAGCAAAACTGTCCTGCAGAACATATGTAAGAACATCACATACTGGCTATTAACGATAGGACTAGAAATATAAAAGGTCTGTGAATGAAATTAAGTATTTTTTATGTAATACTTACATTATACCACCATGATCAACTTTCAGCCACATTGTTAAAGTAAACGAACTTCCAAACTCAAGGTTTTGCAGAGAAGGTGTAGTGTAACAATCTGTTTGATTCCGAAATATAAAACTAGTAGAATTTTTTGAAGACCCTGACCGCAGATCATTCTTGTCCTCGGTGATACAAGTGCCTAAGCCTCTGGAGAAAAGATTTGCATAGGAAGGGGTGAAAGATCTATGAGGGCACTCTTGAATGCAGTACTGCTGGGTGCAGGACAATACACTTTCCACAACAGTCATGCTAAGACAGAACATGTTTCTTACTGGCAAGCCGCAGGTTGCCTGGGATGGCACAGTAGATACATTTTTGAATGCTCCTATGTTTTCAAGCCTTGGAAAATGCCCCTGTGAGTTGACAAATCTTGAGGGGATGCAGCACATAAACAGAATTACTTTGATCACATAAAATAACAATGCAGCATTCGTCCTTTGTCCAAGGCAAGTCATTTTTGAAAAGAATAGGATCCTCTTGTTCCAGTAAGTTTAAATGAATAACGGTGTTCAGACTAGAGGTGCCATCTTCACACACTAATAGTCCAAGAAAGCTTGTGTGTGCAAAACTCAATTGTATCAGACATCTCCCGGACTAGGTTCAATACAGGGAACTGAAATTTATGAATTCAGTTCAACAAGTTGTTAGAACTCTGTAGAAGATCTGAACATAAATAACATACAGATGAATGGCAGTACAACATATTTGATAAATACCCTCTCTAAATATTATTAGTAGTTTAAGATAAAAATGTAATTTTTTTATAAAAAATGTATTGCAGAATGCTCAAGTATAAACAACTGTTTAGTTTAGATTTGTTGTCCTACCAAAATACGGGCTGAAATGTGGTAACATTCTATCAAAGACAATGTTTAAATGTCGATTTCACACAAGTATGTCACTTTAAATAGCACACATTAAATGCAAAGAGTGCTTATTGCTTATAAACTGTGTACTTCCCATAGTATTCGCTCAGTGCAAGTTAAATACATGTTATGTTAAGCCAACCTCTACGAGAAATACATAAAAAGACACAGAAAAGTCCACGTATTATTCCTACCTTGCCCTTACCCTAGTTTGGCATTGCTGCAGCACCTTAGCCCTCATTAAGTAAGCTGCTTACACCACAATGCCATATGGCCTGTAAACACAAGCACAGGGGGGGAGAGCATTAGGGTGTAAGAGGTTGAGACTGGGAGTGGATGGTGGAGGGGAGGAACTCAATGGATACCGAAGTGTAACAACGGTGTCAAGTTACTGTGAGCTGAAGGCAGAGAGAGAGAGAGAGAGAGACAGCAAAGGACAATCCTGCTGGGCTGGTCTGGGCTGAGATGGTCTGAGCTGGGCTGGTCTGAGCTGGGCTGGTCTGGGCTGGGCTGAGCTGGTCTGAGCTGAGCTGGTCTGGTCTGAGCTGGTCTGGGCTGAGCTGGTCTGGTCTGGTCTGGGCTGAGCTGAGCTGGTCTGGGCTGGGCTGAGCTGGTCTGAGCTGAGCTGGTCTGGTCTGAGCTGGTCTGGGCTGAGCTGGTCTGAGCTGGTCTGGGCTGGTCTGGTCTGGGCTGAGCTGGTCTGGTCTGGTCTGGTCTGGGCTGAGCTGGTCTGAGCTGAGCTGGTCTGGTCTGAGCTGGTCTGGTCTGAGCTGGTCTGGCTGAGCTGGTCTGGGCTGGTCTGGTCTGGGCTGAGCTGGTCTGGGCTGAGCGGTGTCGCCTGGCTCAGCTTCCACAGCAATGAGCTGTCAGAAACACACGCAGAAGCGGTCGCTTGGCAACCAGAGCCCGGCTTCTCCCTCAGCTCCACACACCATCAGCAGCAGCTGAGAGTCTTACCCACTCTCCTCCCTACAGATTCATCATACCATCCTTCCCACGAATGACCACACTGATAATTAGTCCGCATTTTAAACTCAGGATTCATAAACCTACACACATATATATATAAATATACAGTCAATTCCCTTTACAGTACATCCTGTGAAGCGCTTTGAAACGTGTCGAAGACATGATAAGGCGCTTCATCAAATGCAAGGATTATTATATATATCTAGGTTTGCAATTCCTAATAATTCTTGCTATAATTTGGACAAGCGACTTTCAAGTCGGGAGGATGTCTCAAAGTGCTCCATAGTACATCATGGTAACGTGTACCAATTCTATACTCTGTAGGCGAATGATTGCACATCAGCAATGTCCAGCCAATAGAAAACTGCGGGAAAAATATTTGCCAAAAATTGCGGGGTGAATTTGCCGCGGTTTGTGGAAAATTAGGGGTGCTATTGAGGCACATTTTACTACATGATTGTTTGGGTGAGGCCAGAGGTGAGGTCTCGAGCCTGAGAGAGGAGTGAAAAGCTGAGTGAAGTGGTGGTTGGGAATATGTCGCTTTGTGCCCTGTGGTACAGAGACGTTAAAGCAAACAAGAAATAACCCAAAACGTATCCCAAACTTATCGGCCTGCAATCTATGATCTCACTGCCTGTCCCCGATTACTTTTTGATTACGCTGAGTGTGGCTCAGTTGAATTGCTCCTCCCTCACTTCTGGGTGAGAAAGTTCTGAGCTCAAAGCCCAATATTGGTTCTTGAGATTAATAGTCGAGAATAACAGTCTAGTGAAACATCTAGTGAGTGCTGAATTATCAGAGGTGAGTCCTGTAGCTCAGTGGTAAGAGCACTCGCTTTGCAAGTGAGAAACCTGAGTTCAATTCCAGGCAGGGCGAAACCTTGGGCAAGTTTTCTTACTCCAGAAGCCTAATAATAATCCCTCCAAAAAAAACAATAATAAATTGGTCATTTTCAATCTACGACTGTTTGTGGGACATTGCTGTGCGCAATTGGCTGCTGCATTCGCCCACAAATATGCAGTCAATTCACTTTTTGGTGTGTTCTGTGAAGCGCTTTGGGACGTCCTCCCGACGTGAAAAGCGCTATATCAAATGCAAGGATTATTATTATTATTAAGGATCATTATTAGTAGTAGAATTATTGAAGTCACTAGTTTATCAAAATTGGCCACAATCAATAATGACGCAGTAGGACAATATCAGAGAGATTGAGCAGGTCATTCCAGCTAAAACACTCATGGAAAATGTCATTATCCGTTGTTGTGCATGTGTGGATGTACAGGGAAGTCATCTTTCCAGTATTATTTTTAAACAGTAGTTTATTTAACAGATTTTGATTTTTTATGCACTGAACACTCTCTTTGAAGAAATAAAATAATTATTATTAACATAAATGTTATCACAACGTTTTGGTCACCCTGTACAATATAATAATCCTTGATATAGTGGAAAGACCTCAAAATGCTTTACAGGATTTGTTTTGTAGTCATTGTATCTTTCAGAATGCCTACAAGGGGTATTTTAATTCATAAACAAAACTATACATGCACATTTTTAATTATAACAAAAGCTAAAAAAAAGTCTCAGGAATCCCCCAAAAAGCATACCCTTTCATCCCAATCTTGAGAGGTCAAGTCTTAAAACTTTAATTTACATTTTCTCTTTCAGATGCCGATCGACTCGTTGTTGAACTCCATTTTATTTTACGGGGAGGGGATATTTTTGTTAATAGCAAATGTGTCTTTTTTCTTTCTAGTCAGTTTCTATAACAATTATTATTGTGGAATATATTTTCATTTGATAGAGCATCTACAATGTCAAAACGTCTCAATTACTGTTGCTTATTGTGATTTCTGAGTTTGACTTGCTCGAAGGGTCACTAATGAAATCATTTGTTGGTATGTGTATTTGAGACTCTTACTGAATGTCAGTTTGACCCACAAAACCTTGTCAGTTACTGACTACTGAAAATCCCAGGATTCAAACTGGGATATTGTAGATTACAGCTGGCAACCTGTGTTGCTAATTTAAGGTGCGATAAATGCTAGTTTAAAATGTTTTCCAATACCCAACCAGTAACTTGTTTTTATCATTTATTTGTTGCTCACGTTACAGCCCTAAAATTAGCATGCAGACTAATGACATGTGTGGAGTCCTGTAGCTCAGTGGTTAGAGCACTCGCTTTGCAAGCGAGAGACCCGAGTTCAATTCCAGGCAGGTCAGGGCGAAACCTTGGGCAAGTTTCCTTACTCCACACACCTAATAATAATCCCTCCAAAACAAAAAATAATAAATTGGTCATTTTCAATCTACGACTGTTTGTGGGACATTGCTGTGCGCAATTGGCTGCCGCGTTCGCCCACAAATATACAGTCAATTCACTTTACAGTATATTCTGTGAAGCGCTTTGGGACGTCCTCCTGACGTGAAAAGCGCTATATCAAATGCAAGGATTATTATTATTATTATTATTATTTTCAAAAAACAAGTTACCAATGTAAATATCTCTAGCCTATTAGTACCACAGAACAATTTCTCCAGTTCTTTCTCTCCCAATTTCCAAGTACCCAATTGTAGTAATAATCCTGCATTTGATATAGCGCCTTATCGCATCATTGAGACTCGCCAAAGTGCTTCACAGAATATGCTGTAATATGAATTGACTGTATATTTTGTGGGCAAAACACAGCACTCAATTGAGTACAGCAGTATCCCACAAACATAACACAAATTAATTAACAATAATGTCAGTCTTGTGACATCCATGTTGCAAGCATAAATGACTAAAACCTGCAGCAAGTGTCAGATTGATTAAATTGGTCGCACAACCGTGTCTGGATTAAAAGACTGTGGGTTCAAACCCAATGTTAGGACTTGCGTTTCTCGTCTAGGCTGACACTCCAGTGCTAGAGTAGAGGTGCATTGTCAAAGGTGTCAATCTTTGGATGGGAGACACTGAGATGGCACTCACTATTTGAAAATAAATCAAGTTTTGAAAAGAAAAGGGGAGTTTCCTATGGCGTCCAGGGCAGCCATCCTCCAGATGATTTGGTCATTCACTGCACACTGTATGTGGAATCTTGCTGTGCTCAAAATGGGTACCGCATTTGCCACAAATTGACAGCAATTCCCTGTGAAGTGCTTTGAGATGCTTTGACATAATAGTTCTATATCAAAAGCAAGGATTATTATTATCATAAACTTGCACTTTGACATTGATGCTTCATTGTGAATGACTGCAGAGACAACGGGACAGATGGTTACCCTGGCTGCCCTGGATTCTTACTCAGCACAATTAGTTTTATTTATTACGCCAATTTATTCTTGGTTTGTATTGTAACGCAGACGTCCCCCACAAACCCCAAACCAAGCAGATTCTAACTATAACCCAGGTTTCATCTGGGGATCGGGACAGGTCTCACAACAGCAATACAACAGCGAGCAGCCCTGTAGCTTAGTGGTTAGAGCGTTCGCCTCGCAAGCGAGGGGACCCGGGTTCGATTCCCAGGCAGGGTAAAACCTTAGGTAAGTTTCCTCACTCCACACGCCTCGGTTTACCTAGCAGCAAGTTGGAACCTGGTTGTTAGTTGTTTAGCTGATCGCTTTCCGGAAGTAATAATAATAATAAAAAAGAAATAATTTGGTCACTCAATCCACGACTCTTGTGGGACACTGCTCTGCTCAATAGCTGCCGCATTGCCCCGACAAAATATACAGTCAATTCACATTCACAATGTATTCCTTGAAGTGCTTTGAGATGACTCAACGTCATGATAAGGTGCTTTATCAAATGCAAACATTATTATTAACAACCATGGAGGGATGCAGGCACCTGGTCTCCTACAGACCCACGTGCTCACAATCCTACCCTGTGCCATTAACCAACCTATGTGGTCGAGGCCTCATGCTCCTTGGGTCAGGCCAGAGTCGCCACCCTCCTCAGCCCAGCACCAGCACCAAGAGAGAGATGGGACCATCAGCATCTCCTTAAGAAGCCACAGACTCACTTCCTGCCCTGAGGTCCCACTGCAGTATACAATCCTTGTATTTGATACAGCGCCTTATCACATCGTTGAGACATCTCAAAGCGCTTCACAGAATATATTGTGAAGTGAATTAACTGTATATACTTTGTGGGCAAAACTTGGCAGCCAATTGTGCACAGCAGTGTCCCACAAACAGTTGTGGATTGAGTGACCAAATTTTGTTATATATTAAAATCAAGGTTTTAATTATAACATGGTTTTGACGAGTGTTGAAATGGAGGTGTTTGAGGACAGGGTAACTATAACGTCTGCTAAAGTTCCTTTTGGGCAACCAGGTCAAAAGCTTCCTTGGCTGTGACGTCCCACACATAGTAGTATTATAAAGCACATTTATTTTCATGCAAAAATGATAAAACATTACAACTTCAGTATCACTGTTCTATCCACACTGGAGCAAAATTCCTAAGAAGATTGCTGGTAAGTATCAAAACTGTAAGCTCACTTAAGGCTAGCTCATTCATATTTTATTTAATCAAAAATATATCGGATCTGCGAATGCCAACCTCTCTGCTGGTTCAGAGCTGACTGAATATATTTGATTGCGATGCTGTAATATTACTTCTAAGCATGTATCTGGTGTACTGTAGATAGAATGAGCATCTCATAAGAGTGCTAGGAAACGTGACAGCACAGCAATTAAATTGTGTGTCAGCCTGGCACAATTGTTAAAAGAAACAGAGGGGAGGTGAGGAGAAATTTTTTCACATACGAGTTCGGATCTGGAATGCATTGCCTGAAAAGGTGGTGGAAGCCGATTCGATAACAGATTTTAAGGGAGAAGTAGATAATTATTTGGGGAGGACAAGTTTGCAGGGCTATGGGGAGAGAGCGGGGGAGTGGGATTGATTTGAAAGTTCTTTTCGAAGAGCCAAGACAGACACGATGGGCTGAATGGCCTCTTTCTGTGCTGTATGATTCTATGAATGGTAGCACACTCGTCTCAGAGTCAGAAGGTTGTGGGGTTAGGGGTTCAAGCTACACATCGAGACTTGGAATCACCTAATCTAAGATGACACTCCAAATGCAGTGCTGGGGGATCACTGCATTGTCGGAGGTGCCATCCTTCAAATGAGACATTAAATCGAGGTTCATCTTTCAGGTCCATCTTTTTAGGGCATTAAAGATCCCATGGCTTTATTCCAAAAGAAAGGGGAGTTTCTCCTTGTATCCTGGCCAATAATCACCCAAGTAAAAAAAATTATCACTCACTCCATGGCTGTTTGTGGGACATTGCTGTGTGCAAACTGG